TTTTTTGTTTCAAGAAAAAATTGTACACGAAATATTTTATTCGTGTACAATTTTAACTCCGCCTACATAATTGTAGCCGGTCCCAAGCCCGAATAAAGGAGGAGGGTTTTCAACTATTTCATAATTTCTTTAATTTATAACACGCATAAAATGTACAATTTTTTTTTCAAAAAATGCAAATTTTACGGAAAAAAAAAAAACCAAGCCGGCTCGGCTCGGCTCGGCCCGCTAAGGCTCGGGCCAAGCCTCATTTTTTTTGGCTGGGCACGGCTCGGCTCGTTGACATAGCTAAGTTGTTGCCATATATGGACAAAATTTGCTGGCAAATAAATGAACCATGAGAAAGCTACTGATGTTAACGAACTAGAGAACAATCTTATTTTATGATAATTAGTTACTTCACCACTTTGCAGTGTAAATCACCTATATGTTTCAGAGTAGAAACTTCTCCCTGACCGGTAAATAATGAAAATTCTGGTACTTTGTACCCTCTAGGCTACGGATATGCTTGATCTACCCAACACATATAATGGAGACTTTCTTTGCCCCCTTAACACAACTCGGGCACCCTTGCTAACTTTCAGAACTCCACCTCCACTGGTATACCTGTACCATTTTGCATCAAGAGTACTTACAGAAATCACATTGTTGTTGATACCTGGAACATGTTGAACTTGGCTAAGAGTTCTAACCTTTCCATCGACCATTTTGTTTTTCATGTTACCAATCCCAGCAATTCTACACGGCTTATTGCTTCCCATCATCACGGAACCCCTTGTAACTGTTTCATATGAAGAAAACCATTCTCGGTTTGGACACATATGAAAAGTGCATACTGAATCAAGAATCTAATCATTGTCCAGTTTGGAGTCACCTTCAGTAATCGCCAACAAATATCCATCACTATTTTCTTCTGCAAGATTAGCAGTATCGAAATTTTCTGTTTGTTTATCTTGATCTTTAGTAGCAAACCTTTTTCGCCACTCATAGCAATCCCTCTTCATATACCCCTTGTTGTTACAATACCAACAGACTACAGCGCCGTTGCTATCCTTGACTCTACTCCTTCCATGACTACCCGTCTTCTTCTCACGAACAACAAGACCCTCTCCATGACTTCGGAACCGACAACCAAATGCTTCATCTTCTCCTTAGAGTAACGAATAAAAGAAGACAAGAATATGACAGAGGAATTAAGTAAAATGCCCAAAATACGAGTCCAAAACAAAGTAGGAAACAAAAAATGAAAAAATCCCGAAACAGGTGGGTGGCGCCTAAGCGGCATACCCGCACCGGTTTAAATCCATTTCGAATTCTTTTTCAAGTCCAACACCAATTTCCAACTCTCAATGGGCTTTCAAAATGGAACTTCAACTTGATATAGGACTCCTATAGCATTCCAAAATCGAATTACTCTTGATGTGCACTTCAATTGGAATTCTTCAATACTTTAAATACCTCAACAAAAGAATTCGGGTCACACCCTAATTCTAACAATCTTCATCTTGACACGAATTACACTTAAGGAATAAATTGGGTTAATTTCTCCAACAAAAATACAAAATTTCATATCTTCCAATGAATCCAAGCACTACACTTGTAGAATTATCTCAGATTCTCAAAAATCATATAGATTTTACAATTTACCAAAATGGGTTGTAACACACCCCAATGCAGAATCAACACCAAATGCTTTTAATGAAGGCAAGTAACTTAGTTTAATCTCAAAGGTCTAAGTAATCAAAAATAGGAGAGTCTCTACTTGTTGAAGTGGGAACTTGTGATAGTACGATACATCCGAACTAAGAGAG